TGAGTTCCTACATTTTAAGAAAATCTGGAAAATGCCAAATAAATTGCCTAATAATATATCTTAGGATCTTAGAAAAGCAAGAACAAACTAATTTCAAAACCAGTTAAAGGGGCCTTGGGTTGTAGCTCAGTGGCAGAGTGCTTGCCTAGCATGTGTGAGGCACTGGGTACAATCCTCAGCACCACATAATAAATTAAAACAAAAACAGTAAAAGGAAATATCAGTCAAAATTAATAAAATGTAGAATAAAAATACAAAGGATAAAGATAACAAATAATTGGTTCTTTGAAAAGATGAATGAGATTAATAAACTTAGCCAATGAACCAAGAGAGAAGAGATGAAAAGGGAAGTATTACCACAGATATCTCTGAAATCCAATAAATCATCAGGAATTACTTTGAAAACTTACATAGTAAAACATTAGAATATCTAGAAGAAATGGATAAATTTATAGACATGTGACCTACCCAAATTGGGGCAAGTGGATATAGAGAACCTAAACAGATCAATAACCAGCAATGAAATTGAAGCAGTAATAAAAAGCCTTCCAAGCCATGTACAGTAGCACAATCTGCAATTCCAGCAACTCAGGAGGCTGATTGCAAGTTCAAGACCATACTCAGCAATTTAATGAGGTTCTGACTCAAAAAAAAAAAAAAAATTCATTGCATCATACCCTCCATTGCATCATAGCCTCATGTTTTACACACACACACACACACACACACACAACCCCACCACCACCACTCCCCAAAAAACACAATTTTCCAACAAAGAAAAGCCCAGGACCAGTTGGATTCTCAGCTGAATTCGACCTGACTTTAAAAGAAGAATTAATGCCAATAATACTCCTTAAATTACTCCATGAAATAGAATAGTGTAGAACACTTCCAAATTCATTTTAAGAAGCTAGTATCATCCCGATACTAAAACCAGAGGATACTTCAAAGAAAGAAAACTATAGACCAATATCCCTGATGAACATTGGTGCAAAAAAAAAATCCTAATAAAATATTAGCAAATAAATATTTGACAACAAAAAGTATATATCATGATCAGAACAGTCCAACTAAGCCAGACAGTAGAGGTCAGGATAGTAATAACCTTTGGTATTGGTGACTTCATTATAGAATTAAAATAGATCCTGAGATCTTGGCATTATTCTATTTCTTAATCTTGCTTTAATAAGAGTGTCATGAAAATGTAATGATCTATACACTTATGTTTTGGACCATTTTTTAAAAATTCATGTTATACTGCAATAAAATGTGGAGGAAAACATAAATAAGATCCTAGAGCTGTTATAAATCTCATCTGCACTAGAAGATAGAGAAAAGATTTGATAGTTTGAATCTCAGAAAAGAAAAAAGGCAGATGTACAAAATAATATATTGAGAATTTAAACAGTGTTCACTACTTTCACAGTTAGGACACCAATCCAAGCCACTAGCACACCTCTTCTGAACCATTGTGATTTGCCTTCTGAAAAGTCTCATTCTTTGTTCTACTGAGCCAAGAATCTGATGGTAAAGATCGTTTATGTCAGGATTCAATCAGCAATAGAACCACTAGGAAGGTGATGGATGGAATGTGTGGTTTATTCTAAGGAACAGAACTTCTGCAATTATGGGAGCTGATGAATAAGTCTATGGGATGCTGCTGCCTTTGTCTCCAATGGCCTGAGGTCACCATGAACTGCCAGCCTGTCAGTCAGGTTGAAAAACTGGACATGAAATTGGAGAAAATAAATATGAACTGGACCCCGTGTCCACCTCCGACTTCTGTCACAGGGGTGACCTGCAGAAGCCAACGGCCTGCTGTGGATGGCACATAAGCCTGCTCTAGCACTACAAGAAGCTAAATAAGCTCTGGTAGGAGCCATAGTGATGCAGACACAACTGGGACATCATGCCAACAGCATGAGTCAGCAGATAGGCAGCCCCAGGCCAAGAGTTACAGCCACACCAGGGGTCCACTCTGACCTTCAGAGCATATGGCTGCTGCTTCACTTCCAACTGCTAAATATAATACCAATGTCTCTGTGGCCTAAAACCATTCAGGAAAGACTTCTGGAAACATACTTCCAGTTCAGCCAAGTTACACAGTATAAAAGCACCAGCTATCCTTTCAAAAAATAAGTCCTATCATGTCGTCCTTCTACTCAAAATCTGCTAATGGCTCCCTATCTGTTTTAGGGAAAAGGCCAAAATAATCATGCTATCTACAACATTTTATACAAGCTGCCACTTTTAAATCCTGGTACTTCCTTACACCTGCAGCTATACTGGTCACCTTGCTATATGACATGCACCATAAAAATTAAATAAAAAAATAAAAAAGGCTTTATTCAGTCAATTCTCTGCGTAGTCCCTCTGCCCTCTGTGTTCTAGCCAAGGGCTATGTGCATTACTGAATTCCGTCATGTCATTCTACACTCTGCTCAAATATCAGCCTCAGGAAGAGATTTCCTGCACAGAGTATTTGAAACCAACACACCCAGGGTGCTCCTTCGTTGTACCCCATTGTTTGTCAACAGGACATTTGTCACCATCTGAAACACAGCTTCATTTAATTAGAGCAGGTAGGAACGCTAACTAGTGACTAGGTCCCAGGTCTCTTCACTCTCAAATTTCCCTTTCAGTTCAGCCCTAAGCTCCTGTTACTGATCTATCTGGTTGAGAGTCAAAGGCGTGTTCCCAAAACAAACCCTCCCCCCAGCTCTACCTGTGCATGTATGTGACACACACCAAGTGTAATTCAGGTGCCCTAGAGATGAACTGTGAGCTGAGATGTGTGCGCATCGTCTCTACAAAGTACAGCCTCCCCAGCTTCTCAGTATCAAGAGCTGCCACTGTCATCCATCCAGTGCTCAAGTGAGACGAGTCACCCTCCAATCCAGACTTCAAGCTCCGCTTCATGAGGCCATTGCCGAGGTCAGTGCATACCTCTTCCTAATAGTGTCATCTTCATGATCTTTATCATCTGGATCACAGCCATTGTCCCCCCTCACCTAATTCCAAAAATTCTCCTAATCCTTTTGCTCTTGCACTGTGAACTCAATAAACAATGGTCATTTTTAGACAAATCAGATACTTTATTAGTACCCTCTTTGATTAAAAAATATACATATATATATATATCCTTTTATTGCCTGTAATTACTGTTGGGATTTCTGGCACAATTTCCTAGCCCGATCTGTTCAGACCTGACAAATTATCATTGTATTCTACAACCTCAACTCATGCTAAATTCTCTTGACAGACGAGGCTCATAGGATTTCTTTTGGTCCTTGGTATGTTCTGTGGGCTTTTGTGCACATCCTCCTCAAACAGTTTGCATTAGGTGCCCACTATGACTGGCTACTCCTCCATGATATCCAGGAAGCTCCCTACACTGCCGATACAAAGAAAATTACAACAAATGTAGTTTAAAGGTCTTATTTGGCATTTATTTGTGGTTCTAGACTCAACACCTCATTCCGTAAAGTAGAATGAGTGTTCTGATACACTGAACTCCCCTGCTCAGCTCAGGGGTTGGCTTTATAAACAACAGAGCATAGAGGAAAGCCGAGACAGAACAAAAAGGGGATTGGTTCTTTCAGTTGCTTTTCTTCTAAAGGTCAGACTACAAGTCTTATCATGCCTACTAAAGTGAGTGTCTGGGAATTTTGCTATTATCTCTCACTCTCCCAATTTCTTGAAGGGTCAGATAAACAACTTCTCTTTGGCTTCATGATGTGGCACTTCAGTGCGAGTAATTCTGTTTTGGTTTGGTCTGTTGGGCCTAGTGTTAGAGCTTAGTCCAAATCAACAGCTTCCTGAACATTTAACAAAATGAGATCCTTAGTTCAACCACCTGTGCAAGTATAGACATTTGAAGCAGACCAGGTACCCCCACCCCAAAGACCCTTGCCACAATTAAGTTTCACATCAGAAATTTTTTTTTTCTTTACAAAAAATATGCAGAAAGCCCACTGGCATTCTGTTGAGAGTATTGTGGTTTGTGAAAGAGATGGAAAATGGCAAACCCCAAAATAGTGTGGTCTGGGAAGAGGGAGTGAGGAAGAAGGCCAAACACTGATAACATTGATCCTTCACCAGTACACCCCTTACAAGTGACAAAGAATCCCTGGGGAGGAGATAGCCATCAAGCCTAAAGTGACAGTCTCTGCCAAAGCATTAATCCTTTCTCATATAAATCCCTTCCCAGTGACAGCACAACGGGACCCTAAAGGGAAAAAGATAAGCACTGAATGCTGACCCCCAGGCCCTCAGACCCTCCATTCTTCCCCAAATAAAAACATCGCCCAATAAAAACAAATTTCAAATTCTCACAGCCCATTTCCTAAGTGCCCAAACTGACATGCTCTGTCAATAATTAAGTCACCTCTCAGTGGAGCATTTACAAGCACAGATTCCTCCTTTGGCCAGTGGCTCATTTTCCATCAGAAAAGCGGGTCCACCAGATGCACGACTCCACCACGGAGTAAAGACTGTGCTGATCTGTGAAGTTTGCACCCAGCTCTGTCATTTTGTGCTAACAGTTTGAAGTTGCTTCTTCCTTGTAAACAACAGTTTGCATACAAAAGGTGTGATAGAGTCTGCCGTCAAGCTTGTTGTGCAAAAAGATACAAGATTTTACCAAGAAAACAGATCACGAGACCTCTGTCTGGCCTCCTTCTCTCATGTAACCATCCCATTGAATATAAATCTAAAAGAATTTCCAGACTCGGGGTCCAGAGATTTGTAGGCATTAGACCCTCTGGACCACTGCAGCTTAAATAAACCCACTTCCTGAATTTTTTTCAGGTGTCCAGCCTCCTTTGTCCTCAATCATTATTCCCATCGCCCCTTCTTTCACGTCTGGATTTTCCAGACTTCATTGTGGCAGACACCGTCCCTGTTCACCACTGCACACAAAACAGCATGATACAGCAAGGGTGAACGGATGAGGGAATATTGATGCTGCCATCAGTACTTGATTAAGTCCAGACACTTCCTCAGCAGGAGGAGCAGAGCTTGAAGATGTGAGTGTAATTTCTTAAGAGCAAAAAGGGACTGAAGGATGGAAAGCTAGATGCTACAATCACAGTGGTGTTTGCCAGCCACGACTGTGGATTGTTGACATAAAAAGCATAAATTTCAAAAGCAGCAGAGAGGGAATAAAATAAGACAAAAGTGCTCACAAGTGTCAGGATGGATTTTATGGCCCTGGTCTCTGGGGATATTTGGGGAGATTGTCCAGTGCTACGAATGTACTGGACTTGCAGTTTGTGCCTGTGAAGGAAAAATAACATGGTTCCACTGGCCCAGATCATGAATCCCAAACAAATAATATCCACAGAGGAGAAAATAAATGAAAATACCGATTCTGCAATTGTGTTAATAAAAAGACGAGAGCAATATCTAAGATTTGAAGGCACAGTGATATTTCTGCTATGGGTTTGGCCAGTCACTTTCATGGGAACAATAATATTTACTATCAAATGAAACATCCAGCTCAAGAGACAGGTAGAATTAATATGCTTTAGGGCTTTGAATTTGAGTTCTACCCATCTGGGGTTTGTGGGGTTGATACTTAAGGCCTGAAAGCCACCTAAAAGACAGATGGTGCTAAGAGAATTTCCCCAGGCCACCCTGTAAAAATAAAAGACAAATTTACATCCAATATCATCCAGGAAATACCGCAGCCCGAAGTCTGCCATGGCCTGAGGGATTCCTCCACAGATAATCCACAACATATTGGCTAAGGCAAGATGGTGGATCATTTGCTCTAATGGTCTCATCCTGTGCTTCCTAAAAAGAGAATAAATATAAGGACAGAGGAGGGAAGAATTCCCTGTGATTCCTATTCCAGTCTGAGTGATGATGGCCATTCCCATGGCCACGTTCACAGAAAACATTCCCTCAGTGACTGAGCTGTAATGCGTCTACTCAGATCCAGGAACCTGGAGACAAACAGAAGAAACACATGAATTTTTTAAGTACAGTTTTCACTAAAGCCTCCTTTACTTGACTGCCACATGTAAAAATGTCATCCATGAAGGTATTTCTCTCCTCATCACCTCCTATACCTCTTGTGGTACTTAAAACTGAAGTCATCTCATTGGGTTCCCCTATGTATCTCACACAAAGTCAATTTAAAAATACACAAGATCCCTGTGTTCATAGCTCTTATAACTTGTTTTCAGTTCACATCTAGAGTCTAGAATATATTACTAGAAGTCAATAAGTATCTGTTCTTTGAAGAAATGAATGAACAAATGGAGTGGTTATTTCCATGTCAAAAATCATTCTCAATGCAAATGAAAACTACAACAAGACTCCATCTCACTTTAGTTAGAATGTCCATCATCAGAAACCAAAGGAACAAATGCTGGCAAGTGTGTGGAGAAAAAGGGGCACTTACAGACCACTAGTTAAACTGTAAATTCGGCAAGGCACGGAATCCCAGCAGCTTGGGAGGCTGAGGCAGGAGGATTGAGAGTTCAAAGCCAGCCTCAGCAAAAGCGAGACACTAAGCAACTCACAGACCCCATTTCTAAAATACAAAATAGGGCTGAGGATGTGGCTCAGTGGTAACATGCCCAAGTTCAATCCCTGTACAAAAGAGAGAGAAGTGGGGAGAGAATGTAATTAGTAAAACCTCTATGGAAAACTATAGAAGTTTATCAAAAAAACTAAAAATAGATCATATGACAATATGATCCAGCTGTCCAACTCCTTGGTGCACACGTGAAGGCTACGAAGTAGTATACAAAAGAGATACCCTCATACCCATGTTTATTATGGCACAATAGCAAAGATGTGGAATCAGCAGAGGTGCCGGTCAACAGATGAATGAATAAAGTATACACACATAATGGAGAATTATTTGTCCATAAAGTACAAAACCCTGCCATTTACAGGAAATGAAGGAGCTGGAGGGCTTTTTAAGTGAAGTCAGACACAAAGAAATATCAATGTTTTCTCATCAGTAGAAACTTAAAAGGGTGTGAGGGTAGAAGAGGGAATATTCAGGACTGGGAAGAGGGCTTGGGAAGAGAAAGAAGGATGGATGGACACCATCTATGCACAACTTATGTGTATATGAATATACAGTAAATCCCAATGTGAAAAATTAAGATGTGTTAGTGATTTTATAATAAAAATAAATACCAAAAAAAGGCATTCCAAATGTTTTTCTATAATGAAAATATTTCTTCATGTGGAAGGCAGATTTCCTACTTGATAGGTTAAAATGCTTGGTGAACTAAGCTTAAGAACTGTTATTTAAAACTTTATATCAAGGACAGATATCACAACACATACCTGTGATCACAGTGATTTTGGAGGCTGAGGCAGGAGGATCATAAGTTTGAGGCCAGCCTCAGTAACTTAGCAAAACCCTGTCTCAAAACAAACAACTCATATCTTTACTTCATTGTTTTTCTGACTTGGTCAACAACAGCAACAAAAATAAAAATAAGCAGGGGGTGCTGGGGAAATAGCTCAGTTGGTAGAGTGCTTGCCTAGTATGCACAAAGCCCTGGGTTCAATCCTCAGCACCACGGGAAAAAAAAAAAAAAAAAAAACGGGGAAAAAAGTTATCCCTCTTTGAAAGTTAGATGCTTTTGAGTGTAACAGTTGAAGAATATTAAGATATTATAAAAGTACTAAGACAGTAATTTTTCCAACTCTAACACAAATGACAAAAACAAGAATACATAATACATTGTAAACACTTCAAAAATCTTAGGAGTAAACTAGATCAGTAATATGCTAGAAAAATAAAAGCAAGTATAACGTAGTGATGAAATAGCGAATGGAATAAATTTTCACATTCTTTGATGAAAGGGCATAATATGGTATCAAGATTTGAAGTTTCCTCAAGGTAATCTGTAAATTGATCTCAATATCAACATCACATGAGAATTTGTTGGGAAATGGATAATGCATCAAATTTTACCTATGTTACACAAGAAAACCCATGTCATTTTTCCACTTATTTTCAAACATGCAGAAACCCAGCCCTTTAAAATATATATTTATAAAGACTTACTGTTCTGATAATACAGTTCAGTGGTAGAATGTTTGCCTAACATATGTGAGGCCCCAAGTTCAAGCCCAATACCATGCCAAAAGAAAAAAAAAATATTTGCATTCTGATATGTTCAGACTAAGTTGCTGTTTAAAATAATGAAGTGGATGAATGCACCTAATTTTCTAAAACTATACAGCAATGAAAGTAGGTGAGACAAATGGCCAAACATAACAGTGGTACAGAATGAAGTGTCTTGAAAAAATAGGAAATTCAAAATATGAAAAAAAAAAAAAAAAAAAAACCTGTTCAGTATGAAGAAATAGAAAACTGGTGAATGATTTACAAAGTCTAAAGTTGAACTGCCAAATCAAATCTTACACATTTCAGGGGGGAAACACACACACACAGAGCAGGGAAGAGCAGGAACCAGATACCCACCCAGAGATAGCAGCAGCAATAGCTGTGCAGTAGCCAAGAATGCCAAAGGGACCGATGAGCCCTATATGAGAGTCACCTCCACACAAAGGTCCGTGTACCCTGATGTTCAATGACATTTCATTAACTCATCAAATCCTTATCAGCATGACCATGTGTTAGCCACAGTCCTGATCTGTCATTGATTTTCAGGGTTTTTTTGTGGCCCTCTGGAACAGTGTCCAAGGTAGGGTCCACATGACGTGTCTGATTATTAGACCAGAATCACATCTCAGCCTCCACCTCTCAGACCCAAGTCTGCCATTGCACAGAAGGGCCCAGCCATGAGTGTATCCCTGAGGGAAACTGCCTTCCATATTAGGTCTGGCATTCACTCTGAGGGGCATTTTTTGATTTGGAGATCAGCACCTACAATGGCATTTCCTGGTGCACCAATTGTGAGAGTTTCAAACAAAGCCTTGATATCCTCATGCAGTGCACACAAATCGTTTTCATGTGATCACCCACGTTCAGTGTCACCCAGAGGAGGTCCTGTGGAAACAAAGCCATTACCATTCACCGAAGATATTCTGTGCACCAGAGGTATGATTTCCTTATTTTACCTTGAATCAATCTTGACCTCAAGCAAATCAAAGGGCAACTGTGACAATTTGGGCAGAACTAATTCAGGGAAAGAACTGAGACTGCAGGAAAGTTGGTAAGAAGACACACAGCAATTGGAGTCCTCCCAAAGCCCCAAGGAAGGGCCCCACCATGGCTCATTCTCATGAAAAAGCACTGTCGTCCACACACTGTCGATTCTCACCTCTGAATACATTTACCCGTTTTTTTTTTTTTTCCAAGTTTCTATGTCTGAAATACAGTTCCACTCACCTCTGTTCCAGAAGTTACGCCTGTCACAGGAGAGAAAGTTGAACCCTCACTTATAGGTTTGGTTTCCTTGACTTCATCTCTCTCTAGAGCTGCTGCGGTTATTATGTTATTTCTACCATCAATGACTATGTCTGCAAGAAAAGTCTCTGGGCATTTTTTTTCTCAGCATGCTAATTATCCACACTAATTATTTACCAAGAATATCCCAGCATGCTGTCAGAGGAAGCTGGAATAAAAGTTTTGCTGCATTCCCTATAGGGGTGACGCCAAATGACAGACCTAATAGATGAGAGATTTGAGAAGTGCATGACCCTGCCTATATTCTCTCTCTCTCTCTCACACACACACACACACAACAAAAAAAAAAACACCTCTATTAACATTTCCAGTAAGAGATTTCTTGGATTCCTGGAAACAATGAATTTCACCTGTTAAAGACTTGGTAGTTGGGCTGGGGTTGTGGCTCAGTGGTAGAGCACTTGCCCTACATGTTTGAGACCCAGATTTGATCCTCAGCACCACATAATAAACACACAAAAAAAATAAATATATTGTGCCCATGTATAACTAAAAACATTAAAAAAAAAGACTTGGTAGAAAAGAAAATAAAAAGACCTTCCAAGGACAGTGTGTTGATTTGTATATAAGGTATCAGATGCTGGCCTAGAATCCATTGTAAAAGTTAAAATATGCAAGATGAGGCCAAGGGATGGAATGCCAAGGTACCAGGGGCCAAGAGGATGTGGGAGTAAGAAACCAAGGAAGCTAAGACCACTCTCTCATTAAGTGGAACTGTGAGGGTTAACCAGAACTTCAAGGTGTGAAGGGAACTGACAGGTCCCGATTTGTTGAATTAGAGTAAACATTTAACATTCTTCATTAGATGAAGGTCTGTTATTAGTTTAAAACTAGGATCCATGGCAGAAGGAAATTAATCTTTTTACAGATGCATATATCATCATTCAACATAAATTTAGGAAGGAAGAATGGAAGGTAAGGATTAATATGAAGGATGGAAGGAAACAGGGTTTCTTTTGTTGTTTGTTTTTAAGGGGAGGCATTTTTTTTAACCCAGGAGTGCTTAACCAATGAGCCACATCCCAGCCCTTTTTATTTTTTTATGTTAAGACAAGGTCTCCCTAAGTTCCCGAGAGTGGCCTCCATCCTCCTGCCTCAGCCTCCAGAGTTGCTGGGATTACAGGCATGAGCTACTGCACCCAGCAACGGATTTCTTAATGACTAACATCTTTCTGAATCAGGAGTCAAGAAGAGTTGGAAAAGATGGACATTGGAGGAGAACCGAGACTATTTGAAAGCACAGCAGCAGATAATGGCAGGAAAGATGAAAGAGGAAACGGGAGATGCACCCAGAGAATCACAGCAGGAATTCAGATGACGTGTGGCCAATGAAATATCTAAGGCCAACACCCATCCGCCTCGTTGTGTAATTCATCTGCACAAAACTTCCCAGAGTAGCTGTGGGGGGAAAGGGACACTAGACTTGAGGCATTTCCAGGTCAGTGTCATAGAACAAGAGGGAACTGCACATGCTGTAAAGACTTGAAGGACCGA